TTCCCCCTGTAGTGGTGGTACACAATTTATTTGTATTTCCTGCCTTTATGTGGGAGCTGATAATGTTTTTGCCTGTGTGTTTTACGGCTGATCACATGTCTGCTGTGTTAGCAAAATATTTCATGAACCATTGAATGTTTTCATAAACCTCTCAGGAATTAATCATTGACATCATCATTATCATTTCTACTTGGAGAGGCTCACAGAGAATTATATAGCAGTTAAACAATTTTTTTGATATGATGTGCTCGAGCCCCAGTGGAAGACATGGGTGCAGAGAGCAACTGTAGGTTTTAGGAATAACATCTCCCCCGGGGCTCGGACACTGGTGTTGGCGTGGAGGCCAGAGGGAAGAGGKAGCTAGGAAGAGTCTGAGATGGAGGTGGATGTGGGGTTGAACATGTTTGGAGAGCAGACTGATCCTTGGGTGCTGGGCCTTTAGACCTGAATCTCTGTGAGATGATTGGTGAYGGCAAAGAGAGGATCAGGCACTGATGAGAAGTCTGGATGTAGTGATAAACTCTGAGCTGAACCTTCAGTCTTATAAAGACAGTCACAAAGTTGGCCTTCTATCACCTCAAGAACATTTCTGGGAGTAAAGAACTAATATCTCGACAAGATCTAGAGAAACTCATTCATGCACTTATCTTTAGTCACATTGATTATTGCAACAGTGTCTTCAGAGGTCTGCCTAAAAWATCCATCAGACAGCTGCAGGCACCCACTTCGGATGTTATCATCCATTAATCCGCTGACTAGAAGGCACAGTTAGGACAGACTGAAGCCATTCTATGGGACTGATAACCGCTAATAAAGTCCATTTGATGGACTGATAACATCAGAATCCGCTGATCCAGAATGCTGCTGCTAGTGTTTTGACTAAATCCAGGAAGATAGAGCACATCACCCCAGCTCTAAAGTCCTTACACTGGCTSCCTGTAACTCAGAGAATAGACTTTAAAATATTGTTATTAGTTTATAAATCMCTTAGTGGCTTAGCACCACAACACATGCTTTCGCTGTATCAACCTTCCAGACCTCTCAGGTGTTCTGGTTCTGGTCTGCTCTGCATCCCCAGAACCAGGACCAAACATGGAGAAGCAGCATTTAGCTTCTACGCGCCGCAAATCTGGAACAAACTCCCAGAAAATTGTAAAACGGCTGAAACACCGAGTTCCTGTAAATCAAGTCTGAAAACCCACCTGTTATGAAATATTATACATTAAATATTAATCAACATTTTGATGTGTAACAATGACACTTAACAAACTGGAACGCTTCAATTGTTAACTGTGTTCAATGACTTTGTATTTTTTGTGTTTTTATAATGTTATGCTATACAAATAAACTTGATTGATTGATTGATTTACAACTTAATTTAATTTGGAGTCAACCCATTTCAAGATGGCTACCACAGCTAAACAATCTTGGCCAGTGAGAAAAGACAAATTCCTTCCAGACCCCAAAGCGCTTTACACTACAGTMAYTCTCCCATTCACTCACATGGTAAGTTATGTTGTAGTCACAGCTGCCCTGGGGCACACTGACAGAGGTGGGGCTGCCATGCACCTGCGCCGCTGGACCCTCCGACCACCATCAGTAGGCAAGGCAGGTGAAGTGTCTTGCCCACGGACATAACAACTGAGAARGCCGGACTGGGTATTGAGCCGGCGACCTTCTGGTTCCAGGGCGACTCCACTAACCACTCCACCACAGCCGCCCAAATTTACAGATATTCAGCTAAAATTTGACGAGGTAGTAGCTGACATACGTTCCCAGCACAAACTTTGAATGCTAACAGATCACACAAGCTAGATCATGAAGAAAACATGAACAGGGCAAGTGAGCATTTTATTAAAATGGTCATAAAATAAAAAAAACATAAAGGTTAAAAAAGACAAATAATTGTCCTAATTTAACCTAATCGTGTTATCATTTAAATATAAATGTAAACTTTTGAAAATTATTCTCAGAAACTGACTTTAGTCACATCACCCAAAACCAGTTTCCTGTCATGATGCAAATAATCTATAATTTACATCAGATGTGATCTTTTTAGGTTTGAATATTCAAATATTATTTACAAAACTGACCTGTTCCAAGATGAGCTGAACATTTTACTGCAGCTTCACAAAACATCATGACTAATTACTCTGAGGCCTGGTGAGAAGACAGAAGATGTAAGTTTTTTTTCTCTGTACGTTTTCTATATGTGGGTGGGTGGAAGGGATGGCATCTGCATATTTACAACAACTTGCATAATGTCATGTATCAAACAGAGATAAAACACAAGAAGAAGAACTAAGAAAAAAAACAGAGAACAAACATGCAGTGGATTCTGTTGTTTATTCTTATGGGTAAGTCATTTTTACATAAAAACTCTATTTGATTCATAACATTAAAAAAAACAAACGTTATAGCTTACATACACCAATAAGTTCACTGAGAGGTTACCTGAAAATAGGTTGATTGAGTTTCGTTTAGGGATTTGTGCAAACTTCCCCACAGTGGGATCAAAATCTTCTCTTGTCTTCTCTTCTCTTCTCTTCTCTTCTCTTCTCTTCTCTTCTCTTCTCTTCTCTTCTCTTCTCTTCTCTTCT